GTCTCCGAGGGCCTGGCTGGGCCCCTATTTACTTTGGGGGCTGAGCGGGAGTGCCTCTGGAGAGTTCCCGGTGGAGACTGTGGCCAAACTGTCCAAGGACCATGTCCTTGCCATCTGTACAGCTTGTATGGGAAAGTCGATATGAGTGAATGTCGGAGTGGGAAGCGGGAAAGGGGGAAGGTGAACATCGGGCGAGCCCGAAAAACTTGGGAAGAAAACGCATTACCACTGCTTACAGCAGAGCTTAGCTCCGGATCGTTGTGAGGGGGGTCCTCACTCTTTTCTGGTGTGGGGGACATGGTGTGACTTCCACCAGTGAGTGGCCCTTGGTGCCACTTATCGGCTTTGCACAGCGCTCAAGGGATTGCCTGAATTCCCTGTCTTGCTTGCCTGGTCGGTCAACATATGTGATTTTTTTTTAAAAAAAATTTTTTTTTTCTAACGGCCTATATGTCGTTGGTTTTAACTTGAAGAGGGCCAATTTCCCCGGCCAGTGGCCACCTGGGGACGTGTGGGCTTGAATCTCGTGTGTAACGTCGGGGGTATGTCGAGTGGTCCCCATACCTCTGGGCATGTTCGGGGGGCGCTATGTGTGACTCTTTAGTAGTCAAGGCTGCGGCCTCGGCCTCCCCAGGGGGTGCCCTCTCTTTGTTAGGTGGTGAAGTAGGTCACCCTTGGTTGCCTCCCGGGAGTTCCCTGTCGGTTGGGGACATAACGCCCCCCCTTCCCTCTTCTGTGCTAACATGTGTGCCGTAGGTGCTGGTTAACATAAGTTTCAATCACATACATATAATAACAACAGTAACATGTGGCAAGCTTCAAGTGGGCTCGTTAAAATCGGAAAGCGGTACTTTTGTGGCTAGTGCTCTGTCCCATCTGTCTGCTCAGACATTGACTGTGATTGGGGAGTAAGAGGATTTTCTGCCATGGGGGATGGCTTCTTGCAGATACGGGGGGATTAGCAGGAAGAGTAGTAGCGTTAACATTTGGTGTCTATCAGATATTCTATAGCAGGCCTTGAAGCTTAGTGCTAGTGGTCATTGCAGACATAAGGCATTAGCCGTTGACAGGTATCAGGTAGGCACTAAGTTGCCGTTAAGTGGTATAACTGGGGATTGGCGTTCTGGGCCCAACAGCCCCTTTAGCGGTGGCGGTGGCTGGGGCGAGTGGAGTCTATGCGCCCTGGGGGATAGCTCCCTGCAGTTGTGGGGGGATTAGTTAAAGCTGGGACGCTACGTTCAACAGTATATGCCCCACGTTATTCCGGGCTGGGCTTAGAAGTATTAGCGTCGGCGGAGGGCCCTAGCGCTTGATAAACATGTGGGCCTATTCTGTTGTAGAGGCCTTTCTAAAAACAAATACTCTATACATTAACAACTTCTCGCCTGATACAATACAATAGCATTGAACATAAATCTAACACTTGTGATACTCAAATGTCTGGCGATGAGGTGAATTCCAGGTCTATAGGTGTTTCAGTCCCGAGAAAGAGGGGCTGCGAGGGCACCAGCCATCCTCCACTCCGGCAGTATTTTCGTTGGGGAGGCGCGAGCCGGGAAGGGCTGACCCTGGGCATGATGTAGGCCCCACTCCTTCAGCTTTGCCATGCCCACCTCCGGTTCCAGAACTGGTACAGTTCTGTCGCGGTACCACACTGGCAATTTTGTTGGGTACCCCCAGCGGTATGGGATATTGTTGTTCCTGAGAGTTTTTCTCACATCTACGAATTCCCTCCTCCTCACCATTGTCGTCGCAGAGAGATCAGCGAAGATTTGAATGTGTTGATAAGGTTCTGGCAGTTTGGTGAGTTTCCTTGATGTATTAAGGAGTTGCTCCTTCGCTTTGTAGTAATGGAAACGTGCTATGGTGTCCTTGGGGGTGTCTGCGGTAAATCGGGCCGGTCTTGGGAGCCTGTGTGCTCGATCGAACTCCCATGCAGTAGCTTTAGTTTGCGGTGCCAAGGCCTTGCAGAGGGCTGTAAGATATTGGGGTAGCGCCTCGTTGGTGATTGAGTCAGCTATGCACCTAAATTTCAGGTTGTTGCGGCGGGAACGATCTTCTATGTCCGCCAGTTTGTGTTTCAAAACCGTTTGTTCCTCCTCCAGCCTTTGTAGTTTGTTGACCACATGGTTATGGGCCGCGCAGAGTTCTTCAGTTTTAGTTTCAAGGTGGCTGGTACGGCCTCCTTTGTCCGCGATGTCTTTTCTCAGCTCATTTGTGAGCTGGCGCAAGTCTGAGCGGAGTGATGACTTCAGGGTCTGAAGCATAGTATGTAGGCTTTTGTTTGTGACAGGCATATCGTCTATAGCCTGCAGTTCACATTCGTGGTCCGTGTTGCATTCCGGCGATGGCGGGTGATCCACGTGGCCGTCGCCATCTTGTGTCAGCCGTGACTTATCTTTTTTGCCCTGGCGGACCGGGTCAGTTAGCTTGGTCTGTTTTGAGGGTGCCATGTCGCTCTTTAGGGCAATCCCTGCTCGTTATCGGGGTCTGCTGTGTATTATTAGCCGCTCATTTGTTGCTTTGGGCATGGTGGAGTACGGAGCGATTACTGCATGCGACTACTTCTCTCGGCAGTCGGCCACGCCCCCATGTTTTATTGTTTTTAATTGCGTTTTATTGGTTATATTCTGTTTTATATTTGACTATTTTTTACATAGTTTTATTCATAGTATGTTTTATAATGTATAATTATTCATATTTTGTAATAAGTAGGTTTTCTCTTTGTGTAAATAATATAATTCCCACTTTGCCCTTCCTAACATGGCTTCTATGACATATCCTGCCCTTCCCAAGATGGCCACGCCACACCTATCACTTTATATGCATGGCCCTTCCTAATATGGCTCCTATTCTACATTCTCTGCCCCTCCCAAGATGGCAGCGCTACTTTTGTAGTCCCTCCCATGCTTTTTGTATCCACGGCCGCCATTTGCGGCTTATTAACTACATTTCCCACTTGGCTGTGAGGCATAACCTTCGAAAAGCGGAAGTGCCGCGCGTCACGTGTGAATTTTCGATCGGCGTGTTTTTCACTTTCTGATCCTCGTTTTAGACATTTATGTATTCCATCTATGTCCCTTTATCATATATTATGTTTTTATTTATCTATTTATGAGTTTTAAATCAGCCAAATTAAACTTAATTCTGATTGGACGGATCAATTTTGGTGCCCAATCTAAATTACCTAAGTCCCTATATAATACAAACTAGCCAGGTATTGTATGTTATTCCATTTGATAAAGTCTGTCGACGAAACGCGTTATGGATATTTTATATTGTGTATTTTTATATTAAAGTAATTTTTGGTCATTTATCTGTTCCAATTATTCTTTGTTTTTTCTAGTTTTGTACACAATATTTTTTCTTTTTATTTTATCCTGGCTTTTTAGTATTTTATACCAACTATTATTTTATATATTTATATATTCTCTTTGGTTTTTATAACCTCTGGAAGTCTTCTGTACCCCAAGAAATCCCGAGGTGGGCATTAATCCACCTACGCTGATACACAAGAGCAGTCGGTCTGCTCTCCATTTGTAAGTACGATTTTATTTATTCATATTAAGACTACTATACAGTGAGCACTATCGGCTTCCTCTCTTTTCCTTATTTGAGAGTTGGACACCAGTGACGGAGAGATACCCACCACATATCCCATAAGCGGGGATTATACCGCTGTACGCGCTTTTACCCTAGAGCTGGACAGAAGCTCTTTTAAATGTGAGTTCTCTACTATTATTTTCTATCACGTCAATATTGGAACTATAAATACTACACTATTGGTCGTCCCTCTCTCTCTTTGTTGTCTTCTATATAAGTGGAACCACTACAGTTTATGAAGACTTCACCATTGCACTATTTGTTGTAAAGACCATTCGCAAGGACAAATAAGTTGGACTTTTCTTATTCTTGGACTTATCTTATTATTCTGTGGCGCAGCCTTTTTATTGTTGTTTTTATTTTGTCTTGTTTTAAAGGGTTTGGAGGGTTTCCCTTTTAAAGGTTGCTGCCTGTAAGTTGACCAGCGCTGTCTCTTTTATTTTTTGTACCATTAAGTTCTTTTTGGTCACAAACAGTCAGAAACAAGATTCCCAATGCTTGCACACAACATTAGAATATGGGAATGTGCATCACATCACACTTACAGGTAGTCCTCACTTTGCGACTTACCTGCATAATGACTGCTCGGACATACGACCAGCTCTTTAGCACGGGGATTCGAGAGATTCCCCACGTTAGAGAACATGTCTATGTTCGGGGAATTTTCCCTGGACATAGATTTGAGGGATTCCCTACTTTAGTGAGCTGGCTTATGTTTGGGGAATTTTTCCCAAACATAGATTACAGGGATTCCCTATGCTAGTGAGCTGGTCTCTGTTTGGTGGAATTTCCTGTGAACATCAACCGGCTCTCTAGCACATGCAAGATGGTTGTCTCGGCATCCTCACTTACCGACCAATTCGTTTTACGACCGAGTCATAGGAACAGAACTTGGCCAGTAAGTGAAGATCATCTGTATCTGCATAGTCTTTGAACATGTGGTCTTTAGACAATGATACATACAGGGGCTATAATATACATGTCTTCTATTGTACATAATAACAAAAAAAAAAAATGATGACAATTTTCCTTAAAGGTAACCCAACAGTCAGGACAATCTACAAGTTAAATAATGTGTATAGAAAAATAGCCAATTATATTTATCTTTCCATTTACATGATCTGAAACCTTCAGTGTAGGTCATAGACGTAAAATAAATAATGTTATTATTGCTCTATGTTTCTTCTTTATAGAAATAACATAAAGTAATCCCTGCAATATTTGTTTTAAAAAGATATATATATTTAAAAAAAATAACATAAAGTAATCCCTGTAATATTTGTTTTAAAAAATAAAACAATATATACACATATATATATATAAATATATATATATACTGTACATATATAGATATATGTATGTATGTGTTTATATTTTTAAAAACAAATATTACAGGGATTACATTTTACTGGAACCACCCAGCGTGTTCCAGAATTGTAATTAAAAAATATATTTATTTTTAATTACAATTCTGGAACACACGGGGAAGTTCCAGTAAAATGTATTTCAAAAAAGTTTCCCAAGAGAGCTTTCATAGCTTAATGTGAAACAAAGGTTATACAGGGAGTGCAGAATTATTAGGCAAGTTGTATTTTTGAGGATTAATTTTATTATTGAACAACAACCATGTTCTCAATGAACCCAAAAAACTCATTGATATCAAAGCTGAATATTTTTGGAAGTAGTTTTTAGTTTGTTTTTAGTTTTAGCTATGTTAGGGGGATATCTGTGTGTGCAGGTGACTATTACTGTGCATAATTATTAGGCAACTTAACAAAAAACAAATATATACCCATTTCAATTATTTATTATTACCAGTGAAACCAATATAACATCTCAACATTCACAAATATACATTTCTGACATTCAAAAACAAAACAAAAACAAATCAGTGACCAATATAGCCACCTTTCTTTGCAAGGACACTCAAAAGCCTGCCATCCATGGATTCTGTCAGTGTTTTGATCTGTTCACCATCAACATTGCGTGCAGCAGCAACCACAGCCTCCCAGACACTGTTCAGAGAGGTGTACTGTTTTCCCTCCTTGTAAATCTCACATTTGATGATGGACCACAGGTTCTCAATGGGGTTCAGATCAGGTGAACAAGGAGGCCATGTCATTAGATTTTCTTTTTATACCCTTTCTTGCCAGCCACGCTGTGGAGTACTTGGACGCGTGTGATGGAGCATTGTCCTGCATGAAAATCATGTTTTTCTTGAAGGATGCAGACTTCTTCCTGTACCACTGCTTGAAGAAGGTGTCTTCCAGGAACTGGCAGTAGGACTGGGAGTTGAGCTTGACTCCATCCTCAACCCGAAAAGGCCCCACAAGCTCATCTTTGATGATACCAGCCCAAACCAGTACTCCACCTCCACCTTGCTGGCGTCTGAGTCGGACTGGAGCTCTCTGCCCTTTACCAATCCAGCCACGGGCCCATCCATCTGGCCCATCAAGACTCACTCTCATTTCATCAGTCCATAAAACCTTAGAAAAATCAGTCTTGAGATATTTCTTGGCCCAGTCTTGACGTTTCAGCTTGTGTGTCTTGTTCAGTGGTGGTCGTCTTTCAGCCTTTCTTACCTTGGCCATGTCTCTGAGTATTGCACACCTTGTGCTTTTGGGCACTCCAGTGATGTTGCAGCTCTGAAATATGGCCAAACTGGTGGCAAGTGGCATCGTGGCAGCTGCACGCTTGACTTTTCTCAGTTCATGGGCAGTTATTTTGCGCCTTGGTTTTTCCACACGCTTCTTGCGACCCTGTTGACTATTTTGAATGAAACGCTTGATTGTTCGATGATCACGCTTCAGAAGCTTTGCAATTTTAAGAGTGCTGCATCCCTCTGCAAGATATCTCACTATTTTTGACTTTTCTGAGCCTGTCAAGTCCTTCTTTTGACCCATTTTGCCAAAGGAAAGGAAGTTGCCTAATAATTATGCACACCTGATATAGGGTGTTGATGTCATTAGACCACACCCCTTCTCATTACAGAGATGCACATCATCTAATATGCTTAATTGGTAGTAGGCTTTCAAGCCTATACAGCTTGGAGTAAGACAACATGCATAAAGAGGATGATGTGGTCAAAATACTCATTTGCCTAATAATTCTGCACTCCCTGTACAATATGCACTGTATGTGCAGCAGCACAACAAGAAATGGCTACAAGGGGGCAGAGCCTGACTGTCATGGTGGAGAGACATGTCCTCCTAGGTAAAATTCTACTGTTAAGCTAATTCATGATATCTTATTTTACCTTTCAAAAAGTGTAACTTATCTTGACATTTCATGCTTAGGTTTTAAGCCTATTATTACTTGTTACGTTCTACATTAAGTGTCATTGTATATCTGGATAAATGCCGCAGCATTTCAAAAATAAAGAATGAAAAAATAAAAAAATAAAAATAGAAATGGTTACAATAAATAATACAAGGTTTAGGATTAGTACGCAGTTGAATAAGAGTGTCTAGAGCACAGATTCCGGTCATAGCCCAATTCTGCATCATAGATACTTGAGCATGGTAATGATGTAATAATACTGAACCATGTAATGTTGGTACCACTCTAAGGTCCAGTAATCCTATTTGTCTTTACTTGTCTTTATTTGTTGTCCTAAATTTTGTGTTTTAGGACATACTGAGCGTTACACATCCCCAAGCATTAAGATCTATGGAAAATCTCACTGAAAAAAATCAGTGCAGCATTAGGTTTGACTAACTGCTTGATTTTATTTTAAACTTTGGAAAGTAGATTGGTTTAGAGAAGGGGAAGCTTAATTTCATGGTTAGAGTATTCATGGCCACATGGAGGGTTTATGTACGGAGAACACTGAGGATCAGAACGTCCTGCTGTAGTCCTCTTTGAGGAATCCATTTAACTAGACATGGGCAAATGATTGTTGACTACTGGTGCCGAAACAACTGATTGTGATCTACCAATCAATAGTCTTGGGCAATCATGTACACCTCAATGGATGCCTTTGCTACTACTTAAAATTGTCCCTGCTGGTGAGCAGACTGTTATGGAAAGAGACAGGAAGGTGGGATCTTCTTAATGCGTCTGTCTGTAAGTACTGGTCTGCGCGGAATGGCTGGGAGGCGTTACTAGTTGCAATGCAGAGAGAGCAATGAGTTGCAGCAGAGAGAAGCATGGGTTATATTTTGTAAAATTCTAAATCTTCTTTTACACCTTCAACCACTGTGCTCAACCATACCACCTACCCCCAAGTGAGTCATAAAAAATCTATCGCTAAACAACCATGTCTTTTCTTTCTTTCCTTCCCTGTTTGGCTCCCCTTTCCTGAGCAAGAAATTTACGGGAGTGACAGAGGAGTTACACAGGAATAGAGGGGGGAAATGGTAGCGTGAGATAAGTAAAATATGTAAAAATGTTGGCTTTTGATTGGTTATGATGACATGTAGAGAAAGGGTTGACTATTTAAGATGGCATTTAGATATGGAGGGCTTGCAGGCAGTGGTAACAAGGGGAGGGCTGGCTGCCAGTAACAGCATGACATATGGCAATTGGGAGGACTGGGTGACAAAGGTGACATGGGAAAACAGAGGGTTGGTCATGTTGACATGGAAAGTGCTATCAATGACTCTGAGTTCTGTACATACATTTGATAAGGAAGTATTTTTCTGGAGTAAATGGGTGTGGCTAAGGAGGCAGGCTTATAGTGCAGCATTCTGCAAACCATTTTTTTTTTTTTTAAACTATAAAGATTTCGGCTAATCTTGGATCTAAGAGTGGTTCTGCAGCAATGTATGAAACTTCCTCAAGGTCTTTTCTTAAGATGGTCTCCTCACTGAATATATTTTGTCAGTATAATTTAATCCCAATATTCTGAACGAAGGCTGGGTAACATTTTTTTAAAACTTTGATAAGTGAACAGAAATTACTGCTTACACTATAAACATAAATAATAAGATTTAAAAAACAAACAAAAAACTATCTCTGAAAATTTACTCCAAACACTACATTTCTAAACTTTTCTTTACTTTCTAAACTTCTATTTTCACTACTGAAAATTCGCCAGAAACTTCACGTATGAGTATTTTTGTTTTAAGGAACAGACAGAGTAGACAGAAGTGGTGCAGCACAGAAGCAAAACTAATTCCATCCTCCATATTTATCTGACTTTATAGCTGACTGAACCAACCTGGATCCAGGAGAAACTCAGACCAGCATATGGCACCAAGCTTGAAAAAGAAAATGCTTAAATTAAAAATAAGAGGTTTATTAGCTCATGCCATCATACCCTACACTTCTTGTAAGCTTAGCTATATGTGTAACAAGAAGTCACCAGGTTCCCAAATAAGAAAATTACCACACTAAGGGGAATTTTAAAGGGGCAATGCAAGCAATTACACATTCAAAATGTAAGATAATTTACAGTAATTTATGCCGGATTGTGGTTTTATAACTCTGAATAACTCCTTACCAATTGAGGCGAAACCATCCACAACCATTTACAGGGCCCTTTCTTTGAACTGCAAACCCCAGACTTTTTTTCACACTATTTAAATGGACAGTCAAATTTTTTAAAAAAAAAATCATTATTTAACATATTTACCCCTTTGAAAACATGCATGCATTTAATTATGCATTTTTTTTCATTAGAGGTATAGGTAAAGGTGTTTGCAAAGCAGGTGATCTAAGCAATTGCCTTTCTCTTCAGTTTAGCTCCACTGAGTTTAATAAACCCGGAAGTAACAGTAACTGTCTGAAAGGGGCGAGTAACAAGGTTAATATATAAAAGTGTCGATTTCTGTTGAAATGCTTTAGGTGTAATTTAATTTAACAATGTCCAGGCTCCGAAAGTGTAAGCAGAAATCAGGGCCCGGATTATTACAATTTTGGCAAATGTGAGATATAACACATTTAAATAGTTTACCACTGGCGGCACTAGCAGTCAGTAGACAAATAGCAAAAACAACAACAACAAAAAACTTATGGTTAACCTTATGGCGACTTGCTATATATTTTTTTTTAAATTGGGTTCAAAAGCAAAAAGCAATGATTTTAAAGTTTTCTGACCAAATAGCTCAGATTTGGTTGGTTCAGAATTGATGTTGGTACATTGCCATTCCAGATGGAATTCAACCATTTTCCAGTTTTTAGTAAACTAAAAAACGAATTTACTTTGTCTGATTTGGATTATGAAGTAATATGCTTATTCTTTGATGTAAATTTAAAAGAAAAGAATGTGTTTCATGGAGAAAAAAAAAGGTGAAACAAAGCAAGTTGATAAGTGATTTTCAATGGTTTATTCAATGGTGTAAATCCCAATATCATCTACATAGTGCATTGAAAATAATGGGTCCACTTGAGACTGATAAGAATTTACCAACTATGTTTCCTTTTAACCGTTCTCATCCCTCCTCTCCTTATTTGTCTATTCCTTTCCTGTTGCTGATGTGCAAAATCTGGTTGGTTTTTAGCCTGCAGGATATTGGCTTATATTTGAACTTGTACTTTTGTTTCATATTACATGAGTTTTGTTAAAAGTTTTGTTATTATAGACTTTGCCGCATATTGGGTGTCATCTGCATGACTTCAATCAGGAAATCCTGTGTTTGAATCAGGGCGGCAATATTTCCTTTTCTTCAACAAAGATATTAGATTATTTCATATCTGCAGGAATGAGGAAGCAGAACATTTTGTGCATCAATGTGCTACTGATCACTCCTGAGACATAATATTTTTTTTTTTTAATTCTTTATTTTTCTTGTGCATTTGGATACATACATGCTTGCAGTGCCACAACAGCTACTGTGAGCAATATCAAAACTTTCAGTGGCATATCTGAGGAGTTGCACATTTAATATTTATAGAGTATAACATGCTAACAATCGCTAAGTTAACTACACGCAATGAGTACACATGTTGTAGCTGGGTAATACTAATAGCCGTTGAGTGGCCAATATGTACTAAAAATACGCTCCTGATAATAGCTATGGAGAGGTCTTATGATACCTGGCGTGTGTCTAGCTAGTTGGAGTTGTCTGCTCCGTTAGGATGTGTGCTATGGGGTAAATCCGCCTATGTTTCAATCAGCTGTTCCTAGAGGTGTTGAGCTCAGTGGTGCAGTGTATCGCTCTACGGTGTTCTCTTCCCTCTGTGTTTGTGAGGTATTGCTATAGCTTGGGAGGTATCTAGGTGCTGGGTGTGCCGTAACCCCATCTGTCTGCCGTTTAGGGTGATGTACCATCTTGTTTCCGCTTAGGGCAGATGGGGGTGGGGGGGAGTGGGGTAAGTAGCCTGACTGGGAGCATTCTTATGTGAGTCTTCCCGGTAAGGAGCTAGTAACATTTAAGGTACATGAACTATTAGATTCATAACGGTAGGTAAAAAGAAGTATAAATTAACAGGTTAGGCAAAATTGCTAAGTAGTGTAAAGAGTCACAAGGAGTTAGTTCAAACAGTCCCGGCCAATAGTTTGTTGCGGCTTGTCAGCCGGGGAGCCGAGTCCGGACCTTCGCGGAACGAAAGTTTTCACCCTTTCCGGGTTCCACCTGTGCTGTGGTTTGGAGGTTGTCGTGGGACATATGGCATCTAAAGGTAGTCCTAGTATGGGTAGCAAGTCCTCCGCTCCCTGGAGGTTGTGAATCTCATGGGTGTTCCCGTTATGTGTCACCAGCAGGGAACGGTTGAGGCGCCATCGGTATGTTATGTTTCGTTGCTGAAGTAGCGTTGTAAGTGGCTTAAGCGACCGTCTCCAAGCCAAGGTACTGCCGGACAAGTCCGTGAAAAAGGAGAGGGACATGGTTTCGAAGGGGTACTGGGGAAGGTTTTTGACCGCTGCCATGGTTGCGGCTCTGTCTTCCTTGTGCTGGAAGCGGAGTATAATGTCCCTGGAGGCCGCTGGTGGGGCTTTGGTCGGTTTGGGAACTCTGTGAACTCCGTCCGGGCTTATTGTTTTGGCTTTCCGTGCTGGTAGCAGCGCTGCCAAGAGCCTCCTCGCGAAGTGCGGCAGTTCCTCCGCCGGCATGTCGTCTGGTACTCCCCGTACCTTTATGTTGGTTGCTCTGCGTGTGTCTTCCAGTGCTGCGAACTGCCGTTCATAGACCTCTGCTTTACTCTGCAGACCCCTTATCTCCGATTGCATGGTGGCGATATGGGTAGCTGTGGTGGCGGAGGAATCCTCCAGGGTGCCTAGTCTCCCGGTTATTCCCTGGAGGTCTGTGCGGAGGCCCGCCAATTCTGCCTGGATCGTGGTCTGTAGGCCTGCCAGTAATGCCTTGAGCACCGCTGTGGTGACTGGTGCGTTATCTGGGTCTGGTGGTGTGGCTTTTGCTGCTGGTGGACTGGGAGAGTGAAGTGTGTCCTCACCTTGGGAGAAGTCATCAGACAGGTCGGAGTATGTCTCTGGGTATTCGGCCATCTTGGGCCCAACCGCTCCGTGGGCCTGTCGCCACATGGCTCCGATATCGAGGCCAAGTCTGGGCTGATCGGGCTTTTGTTTTTTGCTTTTCCGTCCCATGTCGTTTCCCCTGTTATTGCCTGGGATTTGAGGCTGTTTTGGACGATTTTGGTCGTTTGGTTAGGGTGTTTTGGCATAAAATTGCAGGAGCTACAATGCTATGCGACTTCTCTGTTCTGCAGCTTGGCTCCGCCCCCCAAGACATAATATTTTAACGGTTTCACAACCGGAACAGAAGCACTTCAAACGCCACAGCATTTTGTAGTGGTTATGGTGCCAAAAGTAACCTGGCAACCCCCCAATATATGGAGTCAAACTGTTAGAAGTAACACCACACCTAGTCTTTGTCAGAAGCTCTCTTTACTATTATTATTTTTTTTTAAATTCTGTATTTAAGTACAGTCATGAAATTACACATAATACATCAAATTTAGGTCGTTTGGCCCTCATGGTGCACATGGTCAAAAAATAATTATTTTGTACAAAATATGTTTTTAAAGGTAAAAAGCACAAAATTAACATATGTGAACACATAGGTCATATAGCCGTGGTTTTCTTGAACTCTCGGTATTCTCTTAAATAGCGTGTTTTGGTAATACAGGTTTCTTGACCAGATAAGATCTGTTATAACTGGGTTGTCTACACCTGAAGAGAAATTATATAAAACAACAACTAAAACAATAAAAACAATAATGCATATCAGAAGTAATCAAGATGTGCCAGACCGGGCTGATCCAGGGGTCACTGATGCCTGGGTGCAAGAATATTGTTGGTGCCCCCCACCCCCACCGTGGGGGTGGTTATATTGCTAACTCCTACCTCAACAAACATACAACTTCTAACCGCACCCATTTTCCACTCGACTCACAACCCAGGTCACATGTCACCCACTTCCTACAGTGCCAGCTTTGCCCCCAAAAAGCTAATTAGTGCCATGATTATGCCCAGCTTCCCAGTGCACCCACTGTCCCCATACAGATTCCCAGTGCCATCTTTGTCTCAAAAGAGCTAATCAGTGCCATCTCTCTGTTCCAATATTGTTAATTAGTGCTATCTTTGCCCCCATCTTACAGTGTCCAAATTGCTTAATAGTGCCATTTGTGTGCCCAAATCGCTGACCAGTGTCGTTGTTGTCCCAAAATTGCTAATCAGTGACATTTCTTTCTCCAAACAGCTTACCAGTGCCATCTTGTCCTCAGAGAGCTTGTCAGCTGGTAGTGTTTTTGTATGAACTGTGTGTAAGCTGGGTGTATTTGGCAGAGAGTCAATTTACTTGTAATGCAGAAATGTATTTACAGTTGTGTGTGAATTCAAATTAATATTTGTGTATAATAATTATGTGTGCAGATAGTTATTGAATATTTGTATGAAATGTGTTAGTAAGTGCAAGGATGTATTTGTAAGACATGTGTGTATGTTTGTATGTATGAGTGTCCTTCACTGGACGTTATTGTGTGTGCATGCATTGTTGTTTTCAGCAATATGTTTTTTTTCTTCTTCTAAATGTCCCTGTGTGACTTATCTCACATTCTCGTCCACTTTTGGCTCTATCCCATTCCCAAGGGCGTTGCTATGTGGACCAGGAACTTCAGCCCAAAATACATTTGATAACTCCTATATTTGACATTAAGCTTGCCCAACAATCCACCTCAGCTGTACCTCCTCACCACAAGCATGCACGCCAAAACACAACCACATCTACACCACATTGCCTCCCCTCCTTTGCCCCTCTCCCTTCCTGTCCGCTTGTGTAGCCCCCCTCCTGAGCCCTATTTATCCCACCTCCCCTTCTGGGCCCTCTTTAGCCCCTCTCCCCTCCTGTCCCCTTATGTAGACCTTCTACCCTCCTGTGCACTCTTTAGCCCCCTCCCCTCCTGTGTCTTCTTTTGCCCTTACCCTTCCTGTGCCCTCTTTAGCCACATCCCTTCCTCTGCACTCTTTAGCTCCGCTCCACTCCTCTGCACTCTTTAGCCCCCCTCCCTCCTGTGCTGTTTTGTAACCCCCCTTCCCTTCTGTGTGTCACGATTTCCACTATTATTTCCCCAAATTAATTCAGTGAACCTCTATCTTCACTAGTCTGGAAAGGACTTCCTTTAATAACATCTACAGCAATCAAGCTACGTTCTCCAGGTTTCTGGGATTATTATTTGGTTCATACTTTCAGATATTTGGAAGGATAAAACAGAATACTTAAGTCTGCCCTTTAGGATCCTATATTACTTCTCATACAATTTGCTTTGTTGAAAGTAACCTGCTCAGCTGATGAATGTTACTAGGTTAATTCATAATTGTTACGACCTGCAGTGATTATGGTGTTGCGGTCCTCTGTTCCCTTTCCCAACAGCTGAGCATGAGTGATTATAGCTGCAGCAAGGAGTAGAGGAATAAGGTAGATGAACTGCAGTTCCAAGGTGATTCTTCCCAGAAAATAGAATATCCCCCAAACATGCCTAGACTTCATGAAGGGTGTAACAGGAATGAATTTTATTGACACACACAGGCTTTTATGAGAAATCCTCCTGCAAGAGGACCTCCCACAGCAAAGAAAGACAACAGCCAATCAACATACAGAATTACAGTAATACACGCCTTCTCTCTGCCTGGGAGATATTGAGATAAGTTAAGGAATAAGCCAATTATCTCCAGGCAGAGAGCACACAATTTCCCCAAAACTCAGAACACCCCTTTCCCCACCAGGTACCCCCACAAATTACATATCTCCTGATAGCCCCGATCTGGGGGACAAACATATTCAAATTTCACCCAGATCGGTTCAGGGGTTCTAAAAAAGTGTGGAGGGTCCCTTTTACCGACCACATACGTTGCTCCTGCCCAAAACAGTTCCATGAATTCAGCGTGTGTGGTCAGTCAATTCACAAATATGTAAAAACCTAACAAAAGTCCCGAATGGACTACCGAATGGTGCTTCCCTGGCTGTTCTGGAAATACAAGAAGCCGGCGTTTGGTAGTTTCAGCGATGGTTCGCGAGGTCGAGTGTCCGATTTTAGTTCCAGACACTTGACGACCAAATCCCGCTGACTTCCTTCGTGCGAACAAGATGGCCGCCGTTTTCTATTCCACGTGGCTGTACGAACAGCGGCCGCCCAGGGAGCACTTAATAGCTGGTTCCTTTGTAATTAATGAGCCAGTTTCAAACTACGGAACCAATACATTCAATATACAGGTAAATAACAGGAAAGTACCGAACAAAGAAGAAAATGTCAATTAAAAGTCTATTTTCTTCACAATAATTTCTACTGAAATCTAAAGGACTGTGTTATACTTTCCTAATCAGGATCTGCTTTATTTAATTATTTCTACTGAAGTCTAATTGTCTCTGTTAAGCAATCATAAGCAGGATCTACCTTTCATTTATGGAATATCATTTACAATTTATATTGCTAAAGACGATTGTTAAATTGAATATACCTAAAATTAATAAATCAATATTCTTAAAGTGACAGTATTAAACTCATTCCTTCATCTGCAGCTGAGTTCCAAATTAACTTTTATTTCTAAGTATTACACTGTGCCATCTTTTGCCCCCTCCCCTTCTGTGGCCTCTTTAGCCACCCCCCTTCCTCTGCACTCTTTAGCCCCTTACCCCTCCTGTGCAGTCCTTTGCCTCCCTCCCCTCCTGTGCCCTCTTTAGCTCCTCTCCCCTCTTGTCCCCTTATAAAGCCCTTTTCCGCTCCTGTGCACTCTTTAGCTCTCCTCCCCTCCTGTGCCCTTCTTAGCCTCCTCCCCTTCTGTGACCTCTTTAGCCCACTCCCCTCCTGTGTTCTCTTTTGCCCCTACCCTCCCTGTGTCTTCTTTAGCCACCTCCCTTCCTCTGCACTCTTTAGCCTCCCTCCCCTCCTGTGCCCCTCCCCTTCCTGTGTCCTCTTGAGCCCCTCTCCCCTCCTGTCCCCTTATGTAGCCCCAAATAAACCAACCAGGACACACAGTTCCAAAAGGAACTAACACCCTCAGCTTCATTTTTACTCAGGACTACCTCATATGTTCATTACATCAAACTTACGGTGAGAAACATAATTGAAGTAAGAAGTCAAACCATTATTCATTTTGGAGGCCCCAGAACACTTCTGGCACCATGACCATTACAGCCCACTATATGGGTAAGATGCTTGGAGAGTTCCTTCAAGATATTTAAAATATGTTTTTAGCAATGACTCATAACATACTAAGAACTGTAGTTTTCCAGATGAGTTAAAGATTTCTACTTAGTAATGCTAAAGAGACATACCTAGACACCATCACAATGAAGCTCCTTGCCATAGTGGAAAGTTCTGCTTATTCCATTTTGACAGGTCTGTATAGTCATGCTGTCATTAGCTCAGTGAGATGGCCCCCCTGTAAAAAGTAGACTGCTGCAATATGCTATTATAGATCATTCAGGCGGCACTCTAAGCACCATAACTATTGCATTGGCTGTAGGCGTTATACCGACTAGGTTATAGTGAACGCTCTACTTTGATTGCACTAACAGAGAATAAACCTCTTTTTACCAATACATCATTATATTGGTTAGGTGCGAGCTCTGCGTGTTAGTTAACCACCTCCCACAAAGACACAGGGACATACTGACATCGGAAAATACAGGCACACACATACGCAGGTATATACAAACAGCTCAGTGAGATGACCCCCCTGTAAAAAGAAGATTTTTATAGTGGGGCCATCTCATTCAGTGTTAGAATGCCCAAGGAAGGGTTAACTCAGACCTATGAAACAAGCAAAAAAGGTTGCGCTAATAATGCAGTTCAATATATTCAGAGAATGCTTTTGTGCTTCTTAATTAACGGCTCTCCAGACTTCGAATTGTAATCCAATATATAAAACACAAAGAGATGGCAGATAATAGTGCAATATGTTTAGTGCTAGGTGTAAACTAACAACACAGATATGAAAACTAGCACTCACATTTTATGGAGCTATAGACCAGCTCTAAGTAAAATAGCATACAGCAGTATAATCCCACTGCCGGATATGTAGCTTTATAGATCTTATAGACCTTGCAGTACCGGTGTACACAAGGAAGCATTGGCTGACTAATGTGCAAATGTGCATCAGTAAACTTTAAAGGGAAACCCGCCTGAACCCTAAACTATGTTCTCACAGCTATAGTGCAAGGAGACAATATACACTGCTCAAAAAAATAAAGGGAACACTTAAACAACACAATGTAACTCCAAGTCAATCACACTTCTGTGAAATCAAACTGTCCACTTAGGAAGCAACACTGAGTGACAATCAATTTCACATGCTGTTGTGCAAATGGGATAGATAACAGGTGGAAATTATAGGCAATTAGGAAGACACCCCCAATAAAGGAGTGGTTCTGCAGGAGGTGACCACAGACCACTTCAGTTCCTATGCTTCCTGGCTGATGTTTTCATCACTTTTGAATGCTGGCGCTGCTTTCACTCTAGTGGCAGCATGAGACAGAGTCTACAACCCACACAAGTGGCTCAGGTAGTGCAGCTCATCCAGGATGGCACATCAATGCAAACTGTGGCAAGAAGGTTTGCTGTGTCTGTCAGCATAGTGTCGAGAGCATAGAGGCGCTACCAGGAGACAGGCCGGTACATCAGGAGACGTGGAGGAGGCCGTAGGAGGGAAACAACCCAGCAGCAGGACCGCCACCTCCGCCTTTGTGCAAGGAGGAACATGAGGAGCACTACCAGAGCCCTTCAAAATGACCTCCTGCAGGCCACAAATGTGCATGTATCTGCTCAAACGGTCAGAAACAGACTCCATGAGGGTGGTATGAGGGCCCGACGTCCACAGGTGGGGGTTGTGCTTACAACCCTGCACCGTGCAGGACGTTTGGCATTTGCCAGAGAACACCAAGATTGGCAAATTCGCCACTGGCGCCCTGTGCTCTTCACAGATGAAAGCAGGTTCACACTGAGCACATGTGACGTGACAGAGTCTGAAGATGCCGTGGAGAACGTTCTGCTGCCTGCCTCATCCTCCAGCATGACTGGTTTGGCAGTGGGTCAGTAATGGTGTGGGGTGGCATTTCTTTGAGGGGCCGCACAGCCCTCCATGTGCTCGCCAGAGGTAGCCTGACTGCCTGATCCTCAGAGCCCTTGTGAGACCATATGCTGGTGCGGTTGGCCCTGGGTTCCTCCTAATGCAAGACAATGCTAGACCTCATGTGGCTGGAGTGTGTCAGCAGTTCCTGCAAGACAAAGGCATTGATGCTATGGACTGGCCCGCCCGTTCCCCAGACCTGAATCAAATTGAGCACATCTGGGGCATCATGTCTCGCTCCATTCACCAATGTCACTTTGCATCACAGACTGTCCAGGAGTTAGCAGATACTTTAGTCCAGGTCTGGGAGGAGATCCCTTAGGAGAGCATTCGCCACCTCATCAGGAGCATGCACAGGCGTTTAGGGAGGTC